CATTTCCTTATTGGGCAAATCATTGTGTAAAATACCTTATTTACCCTTTTTCATTCTTTTCCCCCCATTACTCCACTCTAACCCTAGATTTATCCGCCGACAGCCATCACATTTTCATTCTTTCTTCATTCTTCCCTGTCGAATCTTCTTCTTACATCAGATTTGTACATGCCATCTTCTTTTTCCGTTATTCTTTTTCTCCCTTCATTTTTATCTATTTCTTTCAACATAGTTTTAGAAGATCTACTCCATGGCAAAATATACTCCAACATATGGGTTCCGGATTAGACAGGCCGCAGCATCTCAAAGCTAGGAATTCCTCCAACGCCACAAGGAATTCCATGTGCTGTCGTAGTAGCAAGAGCAGAGACCAGAGGTGGAGGAAGGCAACTCAAGCTGTAAATTTCCAGCTTGTATGTCGTCTGATAACTTAGGTAGTAGCATCTTGTATGTGATGGAAAGGACAAATCTAAAGCTGAAAGAATGGTTATCTTTTCTCACCATGTAAATATGTAATAGATTATGCCTAGGTGCATTATTCTTTGTAAAATTGGTAGATTAATTGGAAGAGATATCCAGGGTTTTAAGTCTTTCTGAGACATACAAAATGGTTTTTTTGGTAGCAAACATTGTCTATGTAACTTTTAAACTGTAACTTATATGCTCCAATTTGACTAGGAATGTTTTAAATAAACTCAAAAAATGTTACCTATAGGCCATGCATAATAATATAAAACATTAAGTAAGGATTTACACGCAGTTAATATAGTATATTTCCCAAACTCTACACCCATAAGATTAAAATTCAACACAATAACATTAAATTATGAAACAAAATCCCCTTAAATGTGAAGTAAATTTACCAGAAAAGATATCTTCACAAATATTTATGACGCGAGATGCTTTGCTGATACCACCCCTAGTTATATGGAATAGTCTATCAAAGACATCTGGATGACCATAATGCATACGAACCCTGATGATCATTTCAAATACAAGTTAGACAGACTTTTCTTTCATAGTTCAATGATTACTCTATAAATGCCATGGAACAACAAATATTCACGATTAATGTGAACTCACTTCAAAGGATTTGCTAGAACACGTTGGCCAAGAGTCACAAAGCTAGATTCCTGATTAGACATGAAGGATGCTAAAGAAGAAACACTGAGAAGATGCACAAGTTTAAAGAGTCAGAAGCCTAAACAAATGAACTCTATAAGGGACAAAATGCCTCTAATACCATACCCTCTAGTAAACACATGATCCCTAACACCAAGAATAGTAGGGGGGCGAACTCCATGGTCACGGTAAAATTCTTCAAGAAGATTTCTCACCTTCAAAACCTCCTCAAAGTAATTATCCTGTCCACATACAAAGAGAAATAAATAAAAAAATAGACTATCAATTTGCCCTGTAAATAACATTCAGGTCAATATCAATATAAAAACAATTAGTCACCTGATTCATATCAATGGTCTGTATTGCATTTCCACGTGTAAATATAATAGCATGATTTTGATTTTCAGGTTTCCCTTCACCAAGCTTTGGATTTCCAGGCAATTTCACAGAATATATTTCCTGTAATGATTCAAAAAGCAATTAAAACATTAAAGATGGCTGAAATGGCTACATTTGGCAAATTATTCCGATTTAGTGGAATCTTTCTGTTTATGGATTTTTCCTTGTTCCATTCCTCCAGATAACGTTGCCATGTAGGGGCTTTGATTTAAAAAAGCCATGGTTGTCGCGTCAGCAAGTCGCGCTGAGTAGATATATAGTAAATAAGTATAATACTCATATCTAACCCAGAATAAAGTGGCTAAACTAATAGAATAAACATCAATGGGTGTTGAAACAAAACTTAGTTGCAGAACACATACACAAACATTGAAGAAGAATATCCTTCTTTGCCCGTACCCTGAAGGAGGGGAGAGCAATCTGTGACTAACTTCTCATAAATAGATATTTGATGTCCACCATTCATAACTTTATTAATGATTGTCTGAGTATAAAAAGGCAAAGCCTTACAAGAAAGTGAAGAAACCTACCATAATAATACAAGAAAACATGAATCCATATTTAGGGATATTTACTAAAATAGAATAAAACTACTAATAGGAGACAAATAATAATAATAATAAGAATAATAATAATAATAATAATAATAATAATATTAATAATAATATTAATAATAATAGTAATAAAAATAACAATAATAAGAATCTACTCAAAATGATAATAACAACAACATCATCATCATCAACACCAATAGTAACAAGAATGATTTAAATGACTGTATCATTACACCCCTCCGAAGTCCGAACATGAAGCTTGTCCTCAAGCTGTGAAGAGAGAGATATGTTGCACCAGCACTTTCCACAAACAAACGACACCAAATATAAGCGCTCGTTTAGTAGAGTACAACACAGGAAAGAACCAACTGATGATATAACCCTGAGAATTACCGTGGATAGCCCAATGGATGAACTTTGCAGAGCTAGATGTGACTTGCCTGTTGCGAAATAGACAATTACTACACCATTATTCCTCAACTGGCATGTGCATAACCAACCATGAATTCTTGGCTTGCCAAATAAAGTGGATTAATTGACAGTGGTCTTTTGCGATTCAGTTACAACTTCAGTAATAGCTTCTGCATGTTTATGTGGTGAATAGCTTTCATGGCGCATGGCGATGGCCATGACGCATATATGGCATCGCCACAGGACACAAGTCACACAACCAATTTAATAAATTCACAAATGCATGAGACATAAAATGAATAAATAATAATAGAGTACTTGATCTAAATAGTCCTGTTGAAAATAAAAGCACAACAAAAAAATCATTCCAAAACACCTGAAGGTGCTAGTATTAAAATAACTTAAGCAAAACATAAAACTTAATTCAAAATTAAGTTGATAAAAACTTTGATCTAGCAATTTAAAACATGAATATCTTATCATCACTCCCAAGAGGTCAGAGGTTGCAGAGAGAGGCATGTAGCAGAGTTGCAATGATCCCATATACGAGTTGCGCAACACGCAACATTCTTCCCTTCTAAAGCCGCGACTAGCAAAGAAGAAGAAAAGTTGTGATAGAGACGTTCTGTGCGAAGATGTACGACTGGAGAGAGTGAGAGATGATTGACTGATTGAGTATCGTCAATCTCAATAAAGGGTTTTCTTGGATTGGGCCCAAATATATTGGACTAAAAAACTTTGGGCAAAATAAAAAAAATGGGGCACGAATGGGGATGGCGCCAAAATGGCATTGCCATGGGAACACTGGTTGCCACAACCAGATTTGTGGTGATTATGAGCCAAATGGCCAATGGCACATATATGGTGCGTGCCATTTGCGCCATCGATAAGCCTGGCGGTAACGACAGTAGAAGAGTAGGACTGGACATAGTAACAGATAAAGTTTTTTTTTGCTCTATATTGAACAACATACTGTATCAAATAGACATAAAAAGTTTGACCCAAGGGTGGTGATGGTGGAAGAGGTTGTGGATATTGCAATTGATATTGATATTCATGTTGCGACATCTTTCAATATGTTGAACTGATCTCTTGGCAAATTCACAGCATAAACATAGTCATCAACAGAACAATAACTTAGAAACAAGATGCACAAAGTCTGAAACTCTATTTTTCTGACTTTTTTACAACTTCTTTGTATGATTTTTCTAGTTTAAAAAAAAATACATCAAAAAAATAAAGAATTTTAAATACGATGCGAGAATTTACTAGCAAACCCCCCACCATCTCACGCTACAAAAACATCAAACACAAAATTATCCAACCACTTTTCTATTGTTGATATTTTCTGGGTGAAAAAAAACCAAAGGAGCAAGAGAGATTAAAAAGGGTAGGAATGAAAATGGTTCTAATACCAAATTGTCACAAATGTATTAGCAAACATGGAAGAAGAATATCTTTCCCTGTTTGTGACTAGGAGGGGCGAGCACGTGGTGACTAAAATCTCATTATTAGATATTTGACTTCAACCATTCATCATTTTATTAATCATTGTGTGAGTATAAATGGGCAACACCTTACAAGAAACCTATCATAATCATACTAGGAAGACTGAATCCTTATTTAGGGATATTGAATAAGACTAGTAATAGGAAATTAATAATGATAATAATAATAATTATAGTAATAATAATAATCATAACCATAATCTTAATAATAATGATAACAATATTTTTATTTATGTTCATATCAAAATATAAAAATAAAAAAAACATAAGTCTAGGGGTAAATAGAAACATTATTTAGAAAAGGTCTTAAAAGGAAGGTAAAAACTAAAGTGATAAATTGGAAGATAAGGATGAATATTTCAAGTCTATGTAGTGTGATGTACTCTGTATTAATTACACAGTAAAAAAACAGAAACAAACATAACACCACCATCCCTTGGCCCACCCCCGCCCGAAAAAGGTAAAATACATAAGAAAATTTAAAAAATTAAAAATGAAAAGAAACTGAATATGGGAAATTGAAAGGAGCAAACCAAAACCAAAAATTCCCTAAATAGGACTTGTTATGTTTTTTCCAAGAGTGGAGTTAAATAATTAATTAAATATATATTCATGATGTCTATTTACCATTTTATCCATATACACTATACACTCCATATTAATTATAAAACTTCACACCCTGATCTCTCCAACCTTCTTTTCTTACGCAACTCCATTAACAACCGCCGCAATAGCTACTCCATTCCCAACCACCACCGCTGCGCCTCCCAATCATCGCCGCCATCGCACCTCCCATCTTAGTCGCTCCCACCACGCCTCACTCCAAGTCTGCGCTTTCAAGATCTCTCCAATTTTTTCTCTTGCAATATCCCAAGTCCCAACCAACATCTCAGGCGGTTCCAAGCTCGAGCTCTTGAACCTGCCGTTCAACAAATTAAATTCATGGGCGCTCAATAATCCCAACCAAGAGTGTTAAGGTGTGGCCATGAAAGCTCAGTAAATTGTAGAACCCCTGCCTAGATACCAACTGCCATGAGATTAATAATCTCATTTGGGAGTGCTGAGGTGTAGAAATTCATGATTTGTGTTCCCAGATTATGTTCTTTTTTCCTTTCTGTTTTTTCAAATATTCTTCATTGACTCGTACTATCAACACCGCATGGACATTAAATGAGTGTCTCCATGATGGTCTGTTAGACATTGTAGTGAATATTATTGAAATGACAAAAGACATTGAGATTGCAAGGATGACAGGTGGCAGTGAAGGCATGGTAGAAAATAAATGACAGTGAAGGCAGAGGACAATGAAGATAGTGAATGACAAAGGATAATAAATACAGTGAATGGTAGAGGGAAATAGACAGAAGTGACAATGAAAGGTTAAAGACAGTGAAGGCAGAAGGTGGTAACAAGCAGTGGCAAGTGGTGGCAGTGGCAAGCGGAATGGGTGGTAGGCGGCAGTGTGGTGGGATTCATGGCAAGCAGGGATCAAATGGATATGGTTTAAAATTAGAGTTTTAACCCAAAGGGACATTTTGGTATATTCATATTTATTATTAATAAATTATTAATTAAGTAAATACTAGCTAAGGAAATACAAACACATGGTTATAGTTAAAGAAAATGAGTATGTTTTAGTACTAATTGAGGAACTTTCCCAACTACAAACGGGTAAAGCTTACTAAGTAGGGCACCGACGGCAACAATGGCACATCTACCTCCCTCTGGTGGAGGCAAGAGCTGATCCATGTCACGATAGTGGCGATAGGTTGGAATTATTTGATCTGAAATTCGGCAAACATATGCTAAGGTTTTTAAATCTCAGATCTGTCGGCGTGATGCATCATCGTTTACTCCGGTTACCCCTTCCCAAGGTCAAATAGTGGACAACATAAAAACCATGCGTAGAGTGACAAAGTCACAAATCTTGCAAGTTCTTCTGAATTTGTCAAAAACAGAAGAAATGCAAGCTCTTTTAAATTTGTTTATAGAAAAAACAACAAAGATGTGCACCTAGTCAAGTAAAAGAACTCGGAGTATTAACAAAAAATAGTAATAAAAGGACAAACCTTATCTTTCCAATTGATGTCAGCCTTCACAAGTTTCGAGAAGTATTCTTTGTGCACTTTTCCTTCAATCAATGTCTCAACCTCATCAATGAAAGCAACTCGGAGTGCTTCATTTCTACAAAAATGGATCCCAATGAATGAAACTCAGATATTGATGAATGAGAGTTATTACTTAGTGATTATTCGTATTCGAATCAGATTACAATTGAAAAATTCAGATGAGACCACACCAAATCAGAAACATATACAACTTTAACTTTAATTGGAATTAAATGAGACTAGACTAGAAAGATTTCAATCATATCAGACCTTAATATATCAAACTAATGAGATAAGACGAAGAGAACATGCTCTTAGGCTTTCTATGTAAGGTAAGAGGTTATCATCAATTAATTTCTAAATAAAAGAGATTGCCATTTGATCACCTTTGCATTAGTAATGCAATATCTGCAGCCTCAGGCTTTTGATTCTCTTTCTGTTTCCCATATATTTGGCAGGTAACTACATAGGTAAATTTGAGATCTACTTGAGCTCTTGCTTCAGGAGACAACTCAAAACCTTGGGTATCAGTTGCTTTGCTCTGTGAAATTGCAGCCTCAGAATCTAAAGATGCATATACCAGAGTATTATTAGTAAACTAACACAGTAATAACTAATGAGAAAGAGAGCATTAGAACATAATAACTTCATCTCGTATATGATAACCTTGAGCTGCCACCCTTTCCAAATACGCTTGAAGCATGAGAGCTTTTCGGTAGTACATCATTCCACGCACTGCAAAACCCAAAGAATTGTGTTTGTAAACCAAAATCATAGAATATAAGAATAAGCACAACTCAAAAAAGTTCAAAATATAAGCCATTTATTTGTTTTACAGATCTCAATATATTTTCTGAGCTACATTCTCACCCTTTCTCCTTTAAAAGTAACCAAATAAAATGAGCACATACCATATTGTGTTTCCACTTGGTAAAAAATTGTTTTTCCTAGCAAACAACTTTTTCATCTCTAGTTTATTCATTGATTGAGCAAGGAAAATTTAGGGAACAAATCCGGAATGCAAAAATTACTTCATTCATAATTTGTTAAAAGAAAGAGTTGAATGCAAGCATCCATGCCATTGGAGCTAAAAGAGTTGTTACTGACAATGTTTTTACTTCAGGAAATAGCAGACTAAATAAAAATGACACATTAAACTTCTTTTGCTAATTACTTTCTATGAAGTTTTAGGTAGTGAAAGGAACAATGCATGAAAGGTCCAATGGAAAGCACACTCTGTTTTTTTGTACATCTTCCCCTTCATACCCCAACCGGGTTGGGATTATTATGGGTTTTGATGTAGAAACAGCTAAACGCAGCATAGGTTGTAGGTGACAAAACATTGGTGGCATAAGACGGAATATATGAGTGAAACGCGTACCAGTCCTAGCCAATGTTTGCCCTCTGTATGAAGCCCAAAAACGCAATTCAAGAATATCATTGGCATTATTACTAAGATCTGACTCTGATGTGTTTTCATCACGACCAATCCGAGTAAGGAAGTTTCTCCACTCATCTGCATTCAGCATTAATTTCTTTCTCATGAACCATTGACACTACAAAATACTCACAATAATGAACCAATCTGTATAGGAAAAAAATAACAAACAAGTCCAGATATAACAATGACCAATTGAGTATTGAAGGCCACAACATATAGAACCCTAAAGTTGAAATTGTATATTTGGATCCTGATAAGCCTCCAATCAGATTGGTGTATTCAAGAAGGAAAAAGAAGAAGGCACAGGGTGGGCAGGCAGAAGTGAAGCAGCTCAAAATGTTAATGGGCATTTCAAACAAACCACTAAGTGGCTGAGTGGGTGGTTAGGTAGCAGTTACACATCTCCCCTCGGAGTGGGATTTATTTCTTGAGTCATGTTATTTTCTGATGTGATTATTTTTCATTATATTTTCCTTTGAGAGTCTGGAGACTAGCCCTTCTCAAATTCGGACTTGATGTACACTTTTTCATTCTAAATTCAATCAATTCGAGTCAAGCTTTATCAGATTCCCTTTTAGAAATTATGCTAGGTCCAGGTTGGGGTAATGAAATTTTCAAAAGCTAAGCTCAAAGGAAAGCCTGAAAGGGTCACATGAGCACTCATGATCATAACATGCTTGATCAAAGGAAAGCCGGAAGGGGAATAGTGATGTTTTGAAATCTAATAATAGCTCTCAAAAGGCAAATGTAATCAATTCATGGATTCTATTAATTCTACATGGACTTGAATATATTTCAATGTATTTTACTATCGGGATTTGTTTATATTCTAAAAATTCCATAGATAGTTCTAACATCAATAATTGATTACAATATCTGGTATGTTGGGTTGTACTTTGTACCCCTGTGGATATACCTATGGATCTGAATGTTTAATTCCTTCCGATATAGAGTTGCTCTTAGAGTAGAGAAATACACACTGCCATCGAAAAATTGAATTACCTCACAATCACTTGAGCATGCACATTTCATTTACCATTAAATAAGCAGTCAATTCCTTAACAAACAATGTAATGATCATTCGGATGCTACTATACGAGTTTTATGTATATCGAAAACACATAAGGGCGAAGATTACTCTATGAAGATAAAGGTCATGCCAATATTGTGGCATACTACGATGATGTTAGGGGCCACATCTGGGTATTATATCTTGATGGATGGGAACTTAATCCTGTGGAAGAGCTGAAACAAGATTTGGTTACCAAATCATGTGCAGAAGCAGAATACAAAGAAATGGTGGCTCTAGCTGCATGTGAGAGCTTATTGGTTCTCAATGGAACACAAACTCTTCTTCCCAGAAATATTATATGGGAGCAAAGAACCAATTTAGTTAAAGTGAGATTTTCAATCATCAGAACCATAGTTGTTACAGCGGCTAGGCGAGGCTGGGCGCTAGAGCACCTTCCAGTCGCCTAGGCGATTAGGCGCCCGCCTAGGCGTCCGCTGGGCGAGTAGGCTATGGCGACCATAACAATTTTATAGGTACTAATGTTAAAGCATATAGTATGAAATAATTAATTAAAATGAACACTAATATATACACACACACTAGCCTGGCCTATTTAATTTGGGCCTTATACTCATGTGTAATAGTCCAATAGTCTATTAATTAATCTAGCCCAGTTATTTGACTTTTTGACCTAGTCCACTAGTTAAATAATAGAGAGATAGGAAGAGGCAGTAGAGTCGCAGATCTGGAAGCCGAAGCCGCACCACGACAAATAATCGGCGAGAGAGATAAGTCTTCTCTCCCTCTCTTCTTCCGTCTTCTCTCTATCTCCTCCTCCGTCTTCTCTCCCTCTCCTCCTCCATTCCATTGCGCTTCTAAAATGGAGACGCGTCACAGAGATGGACTGTACAACACAGTCGCCCAGGAAAAAAAAAGCTAGGCGACCAACTAGGCATCCACAAACCCTCGCCCAGACGCCTAAGCGTCGCCTAGGCAACGCCTAGGCGACGCCTTGATAACTATGATCAGTACACATCACATCAAGTACAGTCTGAGATAAGCAGCCACACCCACATTGAAAATGATTGTCAATTTATCCGAGAGAAGATCATAGTCACCCAATACCTCAGTACTCATTAAACAATATCACTTAGAGAGTTAGAGGTACCATAAAAACTTGCATTTGTAAAAACTTTCAAAAAAATTATATATGCTCCAGCATGAGAAGTGTGAAATATTGTTAAGAAATACAGAGTTTGATGTCATCAATATCATTAAAATAAATTCGCGACCTATATATCCCTTAATTCTTCTTCATTTTCTATCACGATAAAGAAATATTATCTTAACATTTCACAAAGTTCAATTGAAAAAACAAGTTTAAGCTAAAGATGCTAGTGTGAGTGTGTGACACTACGTCACAGCCGTCACTACTGCAAAAATTGTGGAATTTAAGTTTCTAAGTTCAGACCTCAAGTTCATGGTTTTCAATTTTCAATATTAAAGATTCATTATCCTTTTTATATTTGAAAATATGAAGCGTGGAACATACTTTAATATGCTCTAGCTTTGGAGGAGGGGGAGGGGAGAGCTGTTGTCAAATACATATCCTATCAAAGAAGGTACTTTGTTAGTTGTCACATCAGATAAGAAAGTTATATACCTGGATATATCTTTTGTAGGTAAAACAAAGTTGAGATCCCGTCTTCATTTCTTTTAAGGAGTTCAGACATGCTGTACACGACAGTCTCAGAGTAATATGGTGTGAACACAGTGCAAGCACATAAAAATAGAGTCAAAATTTAGTAAATGGTCTAGAATCAAGCCAAAGAAATAGAAGATCATTACCTGAAGGACAGCTTCTCACGAACAGATTTTGCTACTGGCATCTCCATGAAAAGGGAGTTCGTGAAGAATTCCAGCCGACGTCTGGCCTCAAGATTCCTTGGGATATTGTGAGCAGAGTCCTTGATGGTGAGAAGTGAATAAAGCCTTCTAATTTGGGCCCTCTAAATGCATTACATGGTCATGTACATAACTAAAAGATATTAGAAGAGATGGGGTGGTGCCAAGGCAAAAGCCACTATGCAAAACATTGAACAAAAAAGGAGCATTATACTCCATGTACAACTATCACACACCAAATCAGCATCTCTCGGCCACTTCAACTTCTGAAATAAGCGACCTTCATTCCTAGCTTTTAACAAATCATTCCATGTCTCAAGGTTCTTGCTGAAAAGAAGTTTCAGATATTTAACACAAAACATAGAACGCAGAATGCATAATGAAGTGAGTAAAAATGCAAGCTATTTCACAGAAACAAGGTATACAACTATACAGTTGAATATCTGATTAAAGAATAGTAGAAAGGAATGTAGTATATCTCATTTCTAACATTTTACAAGGTTCCTTAAATAAAGAGTTTATACATTCGGAGTCGGGGATAAGTTACCTCAATTGAAGAGCTTGGCTCGTACGGATAAAAATAATTAAGATTTACACAACTTAACAAAATTGGAAAGAATAAGAAATGCTACCTAAGAGTAAAATTTATCTACAATCCCACTCAACCTAGGGATCAGGTGCATAAACACCACAGGGTACAAAGCTTGTACAAATGAGTTACCTCAAAAATAAGATTTACACAACGTAACAAAATGGAAAGAATAAGAAAAGCTACTTAAGAGTAAAATGTATCTACAATCCCACTCAACCCAGTTATCCGGTCATCAGGTGCATCAACACCATAGGGTACAAAGCTTGTACAAATTGAGGCTGTGTGCATAAGATTTGGGGAAGTTCATCCGCAAGTTGATCACCAAATCCGACAAATAACGTGCTAATTTCCTTGGATAAACTGTCTCAAAGATGATTGACTATCAGAAAATAATTTCATGGAGCTAGTTGTCTTGTGTCATAGCTCTTGATGAAAATAGTACTTTAACTAGATGATTTCACACCGGCTAAGAGCCACACCCTGATACTGTGCTTCAACACTTGATCTGGAAATATTGTCATGCTTTTCATTTTTCCAAACATGAAAACAACCTCCAACAAAAACACAGAACCCAGAAGTGATCTTCTGTCACAAGGAGATCCCTGTTGCATCAGAGTAGGCAATAATGTGGCTGTGGACTTTATTCTCATACAATAAAACCCTTCAGGGACACCAAAATATACTTCAGAACTGAATGACTGCATTCCAATAACTTCCACTGGAAATATTAAGAAAATGACTTACAACGCTAACTGCAAATGTTATATCAGGTCTGGTGATAACAAGATAATTCAGTTTGCCAAAAAGTCTTTGATAGACTGAAAATTTGTAGAACGACCTTACAATATGAAGGGTTGAAGTTAAGCAAGACCAACATGGAGTACACGGAGTGCAAGAGTTGGAGGTGCAAGTGAATATTGAAGCACAAGCTATACCAAAAAGAGAGAGTTTTAAGTACCTTTGATCCGTTAAAAAAAGGAATGGGAGATTGGCGATGATGTCACACACCGTATTTGAGCATGGTGGATAGAATGGAGGCTCGCATCTCAAGTGCATTGCAACAAGTTGCCAATTAGACTGGAAGGTAAGTTCTGATAGATGTGCAGTCATGGTAAAAGATACTCCGTATATGATTAGAATGGAGTTATACACGACAAAGGTGAGTCGGTCTCCCTGGGAAACAAGATGGAGGAAGTCGTCATGGTTTCGGAGGATGTGCTTGTTCGGGGTGTCAGAGTTTTGTAATTGTGATAATTAAGAGACATGGAGGCAGGCTCGAGAAAAACTCGGGGCCATAATTAGAAATGACACGGCTGAACTTAAGATGACTGAGGACATGACCTTAACTAGGAAGGTTTGGGGATCAAGAATAACAATTGAAGGGTAGTTCATGGTTGAATCTTTGTCACACTTGAATGAGAGGTGGGGGACCTAACCCCCACATCTCATTGTAAAAGTATTCTTTTAGGGTACGCATAGAGTTTCATGATTTTCATCCTTATGTGTATTATAATGTGATGCTCCATTTGTAATTCATCATGTTATGTTATTATCATATTCTCTTGCAAACCTATAACCACTATTTCTTTTGAGTAGAGGATCTATGGGAAATATTCTGTACACTCCGCACCAGAATAGGTAAGGTTGATCTACATCATAGTATCATACCTCTCGAGACCCCACTTGAGAGATTACACTGGTTTGTTGTTGTTGTTGATGTTGTTGAAGACATCTAAGACTAATTTAGGATTAATAACAATAAGAATAATGATAAAGGAGCTACAAAATGACAGTAACTCAAACATTTGTAAATAGCATCTGAATTGAGAGAGGAAAGTATACCATTGTGAACTTCAATAAAAGAGCAGTACTTGTGCAATATATTGGGAGTGCTAAAGTATATTTGGGAGATAAAACTTGAAGGTACGGCTACTACTCACAAAGTAATTGAGCTTTCACAAACTCATGATGGAAACTCATGTGGCGCAATAACCATTGATGTCCTCACTGAATTTAGAAAACTAGACTCAAATACTCTTTATCCCAAAAACGCCAATTTATTTTTTTTGCTAATCCAATAGCAAGGTTCTAGTTTCTTTCAAGAAAAGATTTGTGTAGCTTGTGTTAGCTCTCCTCTACATAAATCCCAACCACGCAAATTCACCTTTTTTAATCATCAGGGTCACATGTGCAACCTTTTAGGACGGAAGGGTTGATTAAAAGAACTCAAATTGGGTTGGGGTCCCTAAATTAGCCATTCGAAGACCTGAGAATGGGTTCATTTGGTTCTGGTTTGGATCGAGTTATGTTACAGATTAACAAGATTCTGTCGAATCAAGCAAGGTGTTGGTAACAGGTTGTTAACTACAGGTTCAATGATTTTTGGTGCAAAAGAGATTGTCATCATAAGACAAAAAACTTTCATGAAAAACGTTTGTGGCGGTTCAATATGGGCCATTTTCAGGTTCGGGTTCACTATGAGTAAAGTGCTATGGCCTTTTCGAGTGTCGAAGTATCAATTCTGGTTTGCTTTCAGGCCATTCTGTCTGTGTGACATTTGTCGAGGTCTAGGCATAAGACATTTGAGCAAAACCACATTAGAAAAGATTGAATTGATTCGATTAACTAGTTTAACACAAGATTTTATTGATTGTTCATTCTCTAATAAATGTTCAATACAAGACTCTCTAACATACCCCTCTAAGTGGTACACTTCACTATACAATAAAAAATACTTTTCCACATTATTCCTTGGTGTGAATGAGAGTACAAGAGCATATATGAAGCGGTGAATCGAGAAAGGTCAATTTCCCAACAACTTTGTGGTACACAATTTAATAGTACATGGTCATGTAAACCCATTATTATGAGGAGGTGTGGATCATGCCGTTGGAACAGCAACATTTCTCCCTCACGCTGCATTACTCCCTCCCCTCCCTAAAAAACTTCTACATGAAACCAATTAATAAAAAACAACAGCATCGACAAAAAACCCAATACTATGATTCTTTTCAGCTTTATAACCACACACTATCTCTCACCACAAAAATGTAAACCTTTTTTCTTACTCCCTTACAAGGGATTTATGAAGTGATCATCAAAATAGTCTTGCTAGAGACATGAAACCATTAGTGAGTTAATATAGATTCCAATATTCTACAATTTATAATTATGAGTTAAAGGTTAATCAAAGTTGTGATGGTTCCCAAATTTTCCCAAAAAAACAAATTCCAATAACAACCACAATAGTACCTCATGTTGACATGAAGAACATCACATCGGACAATATCATAAAGATCTTGCATGGCATTAACAGCACCACTTTCCTGTTTCGGAGAATGTTCTTCCTTCTACAAAATAGAATTTCATGTCCAAATCACATCATTTATCTCAAAAACAAAAGTTAAAATATTATATGCACATATGTGGCACACACACAAAAGAAAATACAATACAACCTCAGCCATGATTAGACAGTAAACAAAATTGTGAAGGATAGAAAGAACCATATAAAAACCCTTTTAGAAGTTAAAAGCGAAAGACAACAGCAAAGTGTGCAAAATAACATATCAGCTCGTCATAGATTGACGAAAGCAATGGACAATTAATTAAACATGAGCTATATCTTTTTTTACCATGCATTATCTTAAAATCCAAGGGGGAGAACTAAAAATGCCATGCTTGAGACAGATAGCAGACTCCTTTTTTCATAGAACATGCGACGATTTCACTCAAGGTAAAGCAAGTATTTGTCCTATAGTTTAGGTGCTTTATTTAACTAACCTTTTCGCATATTACTTATTCTTACCTTAATCAAACCACATATCAGACCATAAAAAATCATATGAGACCAAATAAAAAACATTAGACATGACCATAGCAAGCATTAATATTTCATATAAGAAAATTAGGCAATACAAAAAACATTCAGATTAGAGCAATCAAGTCAGACTAGACAAGAAAAATTCAAACAGATCTTAATGTATTCAATCAAATCACATTTTAGAGGCAAAGAGAACAAGTGCTTTGTTTCACTCAATTCAGGTTGAGAATATCTCTATGAAAGAACTTGTATTAGCCTTAGAGCTGGCAATTCGGTTGGTCATGTCGGGCTTGGATTCGACCACTTCTGATTTGGATTATATCAGGTTTGGGTTCGGGTTAAGAACTACATGTTCATGACCCAATGTCATCGGGTTCGGGTCGATCCAACGGGTAATTAGATTTATTTTAAAAGTTTTTAAATTCATACTTGCATTTTGCACTAAAAAACAATAAAATATAAAAATACATATATTAAACGTCTTAGAATATTTATTTTGAATTTTTAATTCCTTTTTAGATATGTTTAACAATGTAATGAATAGTAAAAAATTAAAAATGCATCACTTTTGAAAAAATATAAGACAACTATGTGAAAACTTGTGTCAAAATATACATTTATACACTAAAAATGAGTAATAAGAAAAAAAAATAAAAAACTTAATCTTGTTTTTATTACATTATTTTCCATATTAAAATATATTATTTTGTAAAATTATTAAATTAGCGGGTCGGTTAGGTCGGGTTTGGGTTTGGTCAAGTATGACCCATTTTTAGCAGGTCATTTTGGGTGTTGTCAACAAAACCTTTGTTCAAAACCCAATATTTTTGGGTCGGGTCAGTTTTTATCAGGCCTAATTAGCCTTTAGCCTCTAGGAATGTCAAATTGTAAGTCAAAAGTTTATATGAATGAAAAGTAGCATTGTTATTCAATACACCCTCTGGTATACTAGAGTCTAATCCAAAAATAGCCTAGAAGCCCAATCCGTCTCAATGAATAGTAACCACGTGTTGTACACCTTTGTTGTGCAATCTCTTATCATAGTCTTACCAATAGAGGCTCATCATTTCCTAAGCATTGCCACTCTTCGGTAAAATTCCAATTACGCACAACTTCGAGAAGCTTACTCCACTTGCAAGCTTACGGTACTCATATTTTCATCAATTTTCATTAAAAAAAAATTAAATTGATGTCGCGAACAATCTCTGTAATTAAGAATTTGACACTGTGTTTAAATGTTATCATCAACACCAACTGATATGTTATATCCTCCACAATGAAGAAAAGAAGATTAATGAAGAAACAGAAGGATGGGGTTCAACTATATGCACTGATGTAACTGAGAGATAAGTTAAAGCTACAAGTACAAGTTAAAGTTCATATCAGAACGAGCAAGGTTATGAAAGGTAAAATCAGGCCTCATTGTGGTGGGTCTCTACTCTCAATGACATGAGGCATAAAGCCTTGAGTGACAATGTGTAAGCCTCACTTTAATTTAAATAAAAATATAAAATAATAAAATAGAATCCATAACTCATACTGTAAAAGAGAGTAGTACCCATACAGCATTGGTAAATTATTACAAGTAATATACACTTAAAAACAAATTTTTAAAATTTTAAAAAACGTAATCAAACAATGTTTAACGGTCAAAAACTATGAGAATATAATCTAACCAAATACCAATAAGACAACAAGTAAATAAGTAAATGAAGTAATAAAATAATAGAATAATTCTCAAATACAAAAAGCTACAAACTAAAATCTCAATTAAAAAAGGACAAATAAAGAGAGCAGATGAGAAAAAAGAGGGATGTTGGGGTGGGGGTTGCACTGATCAGAGGAACTTAGTGTTAAAAGAAACAAAGAAGAGAAAAGGCAATGAGACCTGGTTGAAGAAATGAAGACTGTAAACCAAGACAACTATAAAGTCTATAATTGTCGGCTTGTAGCTGAACGGGAGGGAAGTAGAAGATTGAGAGTGAGAAACGGAAGGCTGGCATCTTTGTTAATGGGCTCCTAGGTTTTAGCAAAATAAATCTAGATTTTTACTATTTACTAATTACATTGTGGTTGTTTATTTTTTTAGTGGTACATTGTGCTTGTTAGAAAAGCCAAAAAAACAAAAATAAAGCAAAGTATATATTATAAATGTTAAAGCCCAATAGCTTTTATGAACTTTCATAAAATCATGATAAAATCCGAAGCTTAAGCCTTGTTTAAGTCTTGTGCCTTATGTGCCTCTGCATGCCTCATCCACCTAGGGCGTAAGCCTCAAAATACCAACATGAGGCTTAAATCCATCGCCTTTAACACTCCCACTTCAAGGCAGACCCCCTCAAACGCCTTAGAAAACCATGAGAACGAGTTCAAGATTCCGTTTTTTAGTATCAGGTGACAAGTATTGTATCAAACAGAGAGTATATAAATTGCTCCATCTTATGGGCAAGCTTAAAGAGAGTAAAAATATGAAATCTAGTTTAGAAACCCTAGGCTTTATAAGCTTAGGCCCATTATATTGTTCTTTATATATGCAGTGTACTAGTAATAGGAGAGTAACAAGCATTCCTGTTGTATGAGAATTGAAACTACGCGATATGAACATGCACAACAAAACAAATGATCTGCAATGGATGGAAATTCAAATACAAACCAGTATTCCCAATAGTGCAGTAACTTTCTGAATCATTAGTGGTAGCTTATTCAATTCAATATCAACAAGTATGCTCCTATTAGCTATGCTTCTCTGAATCTCGTCATATATTCTCTCAACCCTGCAATGGCACAAAAAGAGAGATGAATCTTTCTGACCAAATAACTTGCAAGCCACAATTATTTTCCTTAAGGCATCAACTTACCACTTCTTACCCTCAGTATCCAACACAGATGTGAGGACTAACTTGAGGGTATAATAGCACTCTTGAACAGCATATTTCATGTAATCGTCCCTTAAAATCCTGTCCCATAGCTCTTCTTGCGAAAGTCTGGACTCTTTACCCTCAATAGCAGTATCTTTAGCAAGAAATATCTGTGCAAGAGGAAAAAGACATACATACCAGGAAGAGAAATAACAACATGTGATAGGCTGATAAGTCCATTTCGTTCTTATCATTTACATCATATTCTAAACGTTATTGCACGTAAATAGTATTTAATCACCTCATAAAATGTGGTTTTAATGGATAAAACTCTCATTTTCGTTCTAAGAATCATAAAATGGGATTCCACATGAAATCATCATAAATCATCCATTTTTGTTCAAGTATTTGAGAAAAGGGGAATAACTCATCAAAGGATCAAGATTTGGGCTTGAACGAGCTTCCGGGAGATGAAAAATAGTGTTCGGGGCCAAAACGGAGCGAAATTGGGCCGAAATCACGAACCAGCCGCGAAGCCCAACAAAGGAAGGGCCTAAGGCGTCCAACTTGGACGCTTGGCCAAGTTGGATGCTTGGGAGTTGGACGCTTCAGCTTAATTCCAGCCCAAGAATGACACATGGCAATACCTGGTTGGCCGGGACAGCTCAGGCGTCCAGATCTGGACGCTTTGACTTGGACGCCTTGGATCCATTCCTATAAATACAGCTCGATCCCTCTCATTTTCATCATCCCATTCCATCCCAACTTCGGGATTTACATATCCCGTCTCCATTTTAGCTTGTATATTAGTTTTAGTAGTTAGTTTGAAGTATTTTCCGGAGGTTTTGACTCCAGATCTGTTCTGTTCCGCTTTTACGGAGGTTGTAAGTTTTCTTTATT